TCATTTAATCAGATGAAAGGACAATTGTTACTTGATATATTGGTTAATGAGATAATTGCAATTTATTAGAAATTATTAGGATCACAGGATATAAAATAACAATTTCCTGTAAATTAAAAGGTGAAGTATAAAAACATTTCATTAAAAAAATTTTTTTTTTTAATTTCACACATTTTTTTTTTAGTCATTTTTAAAAATATTTCAAGTTTACACAAAATGAATAATTATGAAGAATATAAAAAGAAAAATAATATATACAGTAAATATCTGTCTGATATTATTGTAACATTTACAGTTTCCTTATAAGGAAACATTTGGCATTGACTGAACAAGATACCAGTACTGCTTTTGGTTGAAATTTATAAAATCTTTCTCTTAAAATAATTTTTCAGGGAAACAGGTTCCTCAAGTCCAGTAGCTGTTATCGTTCTTTTCAATATTGATGGAAGTTTCCTTCCTAACCTTTTTATTGAAGATATTGAACATTCAGTATTTTGATTATGTCATTTTTTTTCTTCAAGTCACACGTGCTATCCATTTTAGTTGTTGCTACTGTTGGTAGTCTTGAAGTGATGTGGTTTCTTTTATTTGGTACAATTCTTTGTTTGTGATTCAGTAGCGCCAGTTCAAAATGTTCAAAGAAGGATGATCTTTGTCAAAATCCTCAGGCTTCACTCATTCAAAGCCATTTTTAACTATTGATCTAAGAAAGTAGTTGTACACACCTGACAGTTTAGATATTTCTGAACAGGTTTTGTGCTATACATGGCATCCATATGAAAGTTGATCTGACAAGACTAAGCACATGGCTTGAGTTTTCAAGTTAATGTTTTGGTTTTATAGCAATTTGCAGTGTTGAGTAAAACAACCCCTGGCATATCCTATTCTATATTCAATTTCCTTTTCTCCTATACTTAATGCATTATAACTGACCCATACGTTGAGGTATATGAAGTATTTAGTATTTATTAATTCCACATCCTGAATTTTTATGATGGATTCAAGATATGTATCGTCACTGCTTTCACTCCAATTCCAGATCATAATTTCTGCTTTGGAAAGGTTTCTCTTGAATCCTATTTCTTGGAATACTTGGTAAGGAGAGAATACATAAAGTAATGATTACACACACACACATATATATATATATATATATATATATATATATATATAGATAGATAGATAGATAGATAGATAGATAGAGAGAGCAATAGAAATTGAGAAAGAAAGCAAGATATTGAGGTATGAACATATGATAACTGAAAATAAGCAGGGGGTGTAGAATAGATGAATAATAAATAAATGTCTCTTCTATCTAGACATAATACTGTACAGAACTAAATCATATATACTGACATTAAATCTGTACTTGGAACTATCCTAGCATGTCAAGTTTTTAAGGCATTTTTTTTTTTTTTACACTATTGTTTGCCAAGGCCCAAGAGCCACTCAAGGTAGAGGATTACTGAATGAAGTTGTTTTAAGGGCATATAAAGAGCGAGTAAGAGGTACATATGAGAATATGTAGGATAGATAATTGCTGACCCTAGAATTGAAGAGGTTAAAATTGTAGTGATCGAGGAAGCATCCACCTTGGAGTCTGTTCCACAACTAACAGTTCTGGGGAAGAAGTTGTCTGGGAGGAACTTTCCCTTTAGCAATGTGTTATACCCTAAGCGATGAGATAGACTTGCCCACATGTATATAAATGTGAGAACAGAAGGTGGAATGAGGGAAGACAACAAAAGCTGTAATTAGCAGCTGTCTGAGAAAATACAGTAGTAATCTACAGCTGGACTTACTCTAAGACTGACCGAACTTAACTAAGTAATAGTCACATTACAACACAATGGAATATGAAGAAATGAGGAAAAGTTGACCTTGAGTACATGGCATGGTGGGTCCTATCCGTGAAAATCTGGACTGGTGGAGCAAAGGAATGTAGCTGCCTGAATATTTGGCATGAAAATATTGCTAGCAACAATTCATCTGTAAGAAAGGGATTATAGAAAAAATTCTGTACAATTAGCATGAATTAATCCCATGCTGTTAGCTCAAGCAGATACTAATATGTCATTAATATATTTACAATGAACATATATATGCTATGTGCATATTTTAGAATCCTGATGTGCTAGAACAATTCAGAAGCTGTGTACTCAATTTAGTCTAGTACAGCATAATTTGTCCGGGTAGCAGAGTAAAAAGAATTTTTTTGTTGCCCAGAGTAATAAAGGTATTGATAAAATATCAAAGATTTGGTATGCAATTCTGAATGCACTGCTACGTTCCAACACAACATTATCAAATACACACAGATTTTCATGGTTAATTCTCAGCTGATTTCAGCAGTCTTTCGTATTGTATGACAATCTAAGTATCAGTTATCTAAAAGGAGAATAGAATACTGCTCTTACACCATCACTTGAATGAATCATATCTAATTGCAGATGAAAGGCATTTAAGCCACAGATCCCCTCAAGTCCTACTTTTAGGATAAAATTTTCAACAACAATCACTTTGCCTTGCTTCTTGGATTGTTGTGTCAGCATTCTAAAAGATGATGCTACTTCAACTTGGTTTCTTCAATCAATAACAATTGGAATAAGAGAGGGGAAAAAAAACAAAAACAAAGAATGTGCATACAAGAAAGGATTTTAAAAACCTAATTGAAAATTGAAATATACTGAGTGATTTGGTTATTTTAATTTTTCAAAATCTACATCTTTTTTATATCAATTTATGTGTATATATCTGTATAAATAGAAGCCAACATTTGTCTGTGTGTGTATACATCAGCACAGTTTCATATACAAAATACAACTAAAGATGCGGAAATGCTGATTTTTTTTCTCAGATATTTCTGATATGCAGTCTATCTGATCTTATTCAGATTTCCTATGGTTTTGTTTTCATTTTTGTTATTAAGTATTTCACATTATGATAACAGATCTGCTAAGAAAGGTGAAATGTAATAACCTGGACATAAATTTACTGTGGATGATCTAGGAAAGCATGGCTATACATTTTTTGCTTTATTAAATAACTTTTTCTTTTAATTAAAGTAACATTTTTTTAAAATCAAAATTATGGTTAGACTCATCACAATGAACAACTAATGCACTGAGCATGTTGTTTTGTAAAACATCTCTTGTTTTCATATAATCTTATTTAAATTTCTTGAGATTTCTCATATGTATTCTTTGTGGCAATCATTATAGAGTAATTCCTACTTCATGCTTTAGACCAGTGCTTCGCAACCTTTTTCAGGCCATGGACCATTTTTTTTCTTCAAAAAATTCAAATGGACCACTCCTACTTTTACTTCCTACTTTAAAATAAATATAGCATTGCATAATACCTATGTAACTTCAAAATTTTCAAATATAATAGACATGCTTGCAATTAAACAAAATATATTTTTTTTTAATTCTTTCACGTATGAATAATTTAGATACATTTTTGTGAAATGGCTACAATTTTTTTATGGCTACAAATTCTGTGGACCACCAGTGGTCAACCTTGACCACGTTGAGAATCACTGCTTTAGGCTATTATTATTTTGCTTAGTATAAATTAAATCTCATTGTTTTAGAAGCAGTTGTAACTAATTTTATGTTAAGCTTAGTTAAATTCTTTTCAATTATAGTTTTCATATCTTCACCTACACACAATTCCATTAGCAAAAACATTACTTTAGTTCAGTGAAGTCCTTTCAGAGGACGAAACACATAATACATAATTTTTCCTGCTTTGACATTCATTTGCCTAACATTTTTCTGATATATATAAATTTATATATAATTCTCTCATGCAAAATATCATAAATGTAAGACTTAACACATCTGGTGGGGGAAGACCTATTCTCCATTCTGCAGCCTCTTTCTTACAGACATCAAAATACTATTATGGTGATCACTATTTCTATGGTAAATGTTTAGATCATACAGCTACATCAGTTCATAACTTTACAGCTCAGACAAGACCCACTTAAGAACAGTTACATTATAGAACAGACTCCTGTATGAATGCTTCCTAAATTAATCTCTTCAAGTCAAGGGTCAATCATTATCTATTCTTATTCTTATAATCTTTACTTCCTACCACCCATTTCACACCTCACTCATCATAACCATTTTAACAATAACCCTACCTTGAGTGGCCCTTGTGCCTTGTATTGAGTGAATTTATTATTAACAAAAATAAAATGCCGAGCAGACTCAGCATATACAATTTAATCTATAACAAACAAGGTAAGAGACTTTTCACCTAAGAGTTAATAAAAACAAAAGTATAATTTTTCCTTTAAAATGTAAATATTTCATATCCAGGAAATCTTTAGCAGCTTACTATATATATATATGTGTGTGTGTCTCAGTTTTAAGAAATTTTTGAAACTAAATATTGTTTCATTTGGTTGAATCTATTCTATACACACTGAGAAAGTAACTTTAAGCTTTAAAAAAAAAAAAGAAAAAAAAAAAAGAGTTGTCTTACAATATCTTATTTGATATTGATAAATACTTGAATTACAATACTAATTGACTTCTGTCACTAACATTTACATTACTTTCTAACCACTGACAATCTATTTTTTCTGATTTTCAATGTATCTCTATTGTAAAAGCATTAACAATGCTTTTAAAATCATTAGCTATGCATTTACATTATATCAATAATAGCTCTGTCAGCAACATTTGTATAAATTCCTGACCACTAGCATGTGCTTTTTTGTCTTCATTTTTAATGCACATCTCATCAATTCTTTGCAGGTTATTTAAAGCCAGAAAGTATTTTTAGATTGTAAGAATTTTTTTTGGAAATAATAATGATTAAGCAAGACAGGTTTTACAAATTAACCCGTATCTGGGAGGAGAAGAAGTGGATTCATACTTTTCCCAAGGGCATTTGCATCTAAATGAATATAATGAACCCAATTGGAATTTAGCTCTATAATTAACAATTCTGAATCATCCATTACACAACCTACACATCCAACCTTACAGCACCTGGTATTCCCAAGTGGTCACCCATCTAAGTACTGACCAGGCTCAATGTTCCTTAATTTTGGTGAATATAGGGTGAACCAATGTTTCAATGTGATATGGCCATAAGCCTCAAGGTTGAGGCTTACAGAGTAAGAGGCAGAGTTTATGGTGATATGTAGGGAAGATAACAGTTGACCCTAGACTTGAACAGGTTAAGACTGTAATGATCAGGGAAGCATCCTATTGGAAGCCAGTTTTACAAAGCAACAGTTTGTAGGAAGAAGCTGCTTGAGTGGAATACGAAAGGGTATGAGGGTGGTTCACTACAATGGGTGTGGCATGGCAAGTCTTAGCCATGAAAGAACTAGTGGAACTAAGGAATGTCATTTGTCTGAATACTTTCCATGGAAAAAGTGATTAAGCAGCAAGAGGCTTACAACATATCATCTGTAGAGAAGAGGCTGTAGGGTAGAAAATGATTTCTCACTCACAAGGACACAGAAATGCTTTTGGACTATTGAGACTGGAAAGTGAAGCTCCTGCCCATATATGACAGCAGTACTCCATTTTCTGCCTCTGATCTGGCTCTTGTAAAAGGTAGAGGATAACAGGAGGAGTGCTAAACCAAATCTTGAGTCAAAAGTAATTTTTTCTTCTACTGGTAAGCTGATTAATACAGAAAATGATTTTAGTTAAACTGATGAGTGGTGAAAAAGTAGTGTGAAAGATAAAGGATTCAAATGCTGGCAAGTTCTGATATATACAAGAAAGATTGTTAGTGTGAGTTCTCTTTTTTTGAGTATTAATACATGTAGTATATAATATACATGTGTTTATAGGAGCGATGCAGAACTAGAAATAACCTTGTTCTTGTGTGAAAAATTTTCTTCTCCACTGAAAAAGTATATTTAAGTTGCCACTGTATGAACCATAATCCATTAGGCTATTGTCCCGTAGAAAGTGCTGGTTCATGGATTTGGTGACATAGTAATTGAGTTTAATCCCTGGACTAGACACTGTGTACTTATCCTCAGTAGAAACAGGGTGAGGAATAACTGAGCAGTACTAAAAATAAGAATTCAACGATATATCCATAGAGTAGTAAAACAAGAACAGTCTACATCTGTAGATTAAATAAAGATTTCAGATTGGAATTTCCAGTAGGTTATTTTGATCAATATGCACCTGACAAAGGCCGGAGAGCACAACGGCCAAAACACTGTGATAACAACAACAAAGGCAATAGTCTGAATGAAAATAGTATAAATAATGATAACACCTCATCCCAGAAATTCAGATAGAAAGTACCTGCTGATTCAAAAAACAAGAATAAAATAAAAACATTGAAGAATGTGAATTTAATACATTTTCTATCTTTTATGTCTCAATATTTTCCAAATTTTTATCAAGAATTGGAGCAATCAGAAAATTATGGCTTGATGGGTCAGTGTCAATTTACAAAAAAAAAAAGTTAAACATTTAAATATATTTTAATATATCAGGAGACAAGAATCTGTTGTTCTTATAACAAAAAAAGAAACCAACATTTTCAATGTTTGATATACAATTTGAACAGATATAAAAATGAAGTATTTTTTTATCATTTCACCACAAGCAAGGAATTAAAAAAATAGAAAATAACATATGATATTGCATTTAAATTTTTGAAGATCAAATTTGACTGGAAAGCAAGAAGCTGGAAAATATTTCCAGGAGCAAGAAAAGAAATTGTTAGCATATGACATGGTTACATCTAGCCATTTAAATTGCAAAATGATGAGACCTTACCGCCAATCTAATAGTATACTTAAATTCAATGTCTAGGTATCAAAGAGGAAATCTCATCAGAACAATAACCATGGAAAAATATATAGAAAAGGTACAGTGATGCTATGTTAAGGTTTTACGAAAGCAATTGAAATCAAAATGATAGGTCAGGACCAATAATATTGCAGATACCTCTTTGAGTGTTATCAAGAATCTCTAAATACATAGAAGTACCAGACCAGATGTGGCAGCAATATTCAATGCATGGATAAATAGTAAACCTATGTGTAAAATAGATTCAGGCAAAGAAAATTGTCTAGCATGACAGAGTGAACCAACTTTCCAAGCAGCTGCCCTAGCAATATATATTAGTTACAAAAAAAAAAAAAAAAAAAAAACATTTTTTTCTTCTCTGTAATCAACTGTAAATATTCAATGCAAACCATTAAAAAGATAAGCTAATTTTTTTTTTTGACAGGATCATTGAAAATGTTTGTAAAGTATTTGTATACAAAGTTATAAAGGCTCATTTGATAGAAGGCATAATTTATGTTTGATATACAATCTACAATGATGACACAGCTGTACCAGTAAAAGTCTATTATAAATTATTTTATAAAACTTACATCCAGATATATATATATATCTCAGTGACGACTCTAGGTCATCAATCTTTGACAAAAATTACTATAACTTAGATGCTAAAAGGATTCCTTTACTCTAAAATATATAATTTTTAAAAATCTCTGTGTATGAAACAAAAAAATTAATATTAATTGTAATAATTCTATAAAAATAAACATTTATTTTAAAAAAATTTCTAGATATGTAAGAAAAAAAGAGCGAGGACAAAGTCTTTGATATGTTTGTCTGTTTATTGCCCCCTTTCCATTAGTTTTATAGCTTGCTTATCAAGTCACTGATAGGAATAGTTGACTAATATCATATTTCCTCAACACTATCCCAGTAATACTCCTCACCCCAACCCTCCATTCACAATTTTAAGGCTGCCACTTTCTTTGATTTTTGCTGTTTTTAAGTTGGGCTAAATTTAATTTGCCTTTTTTCAATTGATACATTCAGCTAAAAAACGTTATACTGTATGGAATAAATTATTTACAATGTTTATTTGAAAACAAAAAGTTTAAATAAAAATGTGTTCTTTGAAAAACAGGACATACAAGAAATTAGAGATTTTTAAAGGATTATTTATAAAATTAAAGCAAGAAATACATTGCCTATTATGTCACCAGCTTGATAGGGCCCAGATGTATGCATCCCAACTAGCCAATTAATTTTATTTCACTCTTTTTACTTTCTGTCTTTGTTTTCTTTCCTTCTTTATTATGAACCATATGAACGAAATATATTTCGGTCAATATTTTAAGGCACAGAGATAAAACAATTTTGAATCCAGCTGAAGTCAAGAATAAAAGCGACACACTACAAAAGATTTTTGTTGTTTTCAAATAGATATACTTGGATGTTGACTCACTCAGGCTAAGCCCGACAAGCCTGACCACCAGAGTTGCCACTGGTGTGTGTATAAAATAAAATAATAAGCTATGAAAGCACACAGTAGGCAGTGAGATAGTAAAGTGTTCATTGCTCAAATAGACAGAATCACTATATTGTTTACCTAAGGCCCCATTAAAAAAAAACAAAAAACAACCAAGCAAATCCATAATAAAACATCATTTTACATTTACATTTTTGGTAAATTAATATGACCAACATTTTTTATTGAAAACCTTGAAGATCAACCGAAGAAAAATCATTTTTAGGATTCTTGTCAATTACAGGTTGAGAACCTTAGGATTATGACATTGAAAATTTGGTTTTTGGTAACTGAAGGCTTCTCTTATGTCAGATCTTGAAAAACTGTCTCATGCTACAAACCAAACAATTTTCTGGCAATGGTATCATTATTGCTGCCTCTCTGGCATTCAGCTTTCAACAAACATCTGGAAATGTGCAAGACAATGATGAAATCAGATACAAGAACATATATAAGACATTGTAATATCATACTTATAGGAAGAGAAGATAACATGTAGAGGAGGCAAGCAGATAGCTGACGTAACAGACATATATGATGGACTTTCCTCTCAAGTTCGATTAACTGCATGCCTATGACAGGCATAAAAAACTCAAGAATTGATTTTACACAAGAAAGTATTGCATGCAAGTGCAGCAGGAACACTGTTAGTTGTTTTATTTCACTTTCGTGTTTCACACAGTTGAAAGATGCTTACTGCTTGATGGTGCTTTATTACTGCATGGTAACTGGAACATTAGTCAGATCTCTTCATATCTACTTCTTCAAAGTTCTTGAATGAAATGTTGATGCAAGAAAGGTTGCTCTTCAGTTTATCTTTATACCAGAGCTAAGATCTACCAACATTTCTATGACCACTATGGAGTTGACTGAAGTAAAGAACTTTTAGTATACAATCATCACTCATCCTTGCCATCTGGCCAGCCCAATGCAGTTGTGATTGCATTACAAAGGTCTCAATGGTACCAATCTAGCATTTCTCAAAAAGGTTGGCATTTGACACTTGATAATCAAACATCAGGCCACAGATTGTACTTTATGGAAGACATTAAATTGATTAATGTGCCATCTACAAGGTGTCAGAGTTTCAGAGCCATACAAAAGAGTTGACAAAACGACAGCTTTGTACACTTAGATTTTAATGCAAAGCTTTATTTACCTTTTGTCCCACAACCTATGATGCAGCGAACCAAATAAAGTGCTGGCTTTTGCAATGTGATTAACAATCACATCATCAAGTAATGCACTTGAATTTATCATGCTCCTGAGGTATTTGAAAGATTACACATACTTGAGATTCTTTCCATCAACTTGTAAAGGGACCACAGGAAACTTACGAACAGGGTTCTCTGTTTTACACCTCAAATTTGCTTCAGTGTTGGGCAAGGTTGATGAATAACTTCAGTTTTTTTGACACTGATGGTAAGTCCGAATGTCTTACATGCCACAGAAAACCAGTTGAGTAAATCTTGAGCTACCTCAAAAGAGTTAACTACAAGAGCAGCAGCATCTGCAAAAAGTAGATCCCATATAATAATGGTATGTACAAGTGTTTTGGACTTAAACTGCTGATCGTTAAACAGTCCTCCATCAGTTCGAAAATGAAATTTAATGCCAGTTTTTGTATCACAAAAAGCATACCTCGGCATAGTGCAAACAAAAACAGGCATCATAACACAGCCTTGCTTAGTTCCATTAATGACATCAAATAGATCAGAACACTGACCATCAGATATAACACTAGCTTGCATACCAATATGAAATGAAATGGTGACATTCAACATATTCAGGAATACCAAAT